AGATGGGGTATGCCAAGGCTTGAAGATTGGAGGAAACTAACTGCAAACCTTGACTTGGCAATGTATTGGGCACAATTTCTTGTTTATCAATTACATCCATTCTCCCAATCTGGACAACTTCAGAAGCGTGGACTTCAGTTCCCAGAATTCTCAGCAATGGCCACCCTGGCTGGGGAATGATGGGTGTTTGTCCAGACATGGAGGTTGCTCAGGTTGAGAAGCCCTGCCTTGTACAAAGCATGGATATAAATTCAAAGTGAAACATGGAGAGACATTAGAAAATCAGCCTTTCCTAGCCTGGAGCCTTCTTAAACTGCTGGGCAGTGAATTCCATAATTTTTTGTCAGGCAAATAGTGCAGCCAACACATTTGAAGGGCACCAAGTTGGGGAAGGAGAATTCAGAACTAAATAAGCCAAAATGTTGATTTCATGTAAGACTGCTTCCTCTGTTATATGTATCCCTACCCTTAAGAAGGAAGTCATTTAAACTATCAGCCATCAACTAGTTTTGCAGTGTTGAATTATAACCCCACTGGCAGAGAGTGTGCCACTTTGCAACCAGGTGGACACCCTTCTGCTGAGATTCTCCATCCATAACTGTTTCTTTGAGTTCTTGCAAACTTTTCTGGTGTTATCAGTGATAGTATCTATCCGCCTTGTTTTCTGTGGGACTCTTTTTGATGGCCTTTGAACCTCCAAGCATGTGGTGACTCCAGAGCAGTGTTTTTCAAACCTGGCCACTTTAAGATGTGTGGACTTCAACTCCCAGAATTCCCCAGCTCAGTATGCTGGCTGAGGAATTCTGGGAGTTGAACGCTACCCATCTTAAAGTGGCCAAGTTTGAAAAACACTGCTCTAGACTTGGCCTTTGGTGTCCAAAATATCCAAGTGTTACTTTCATTTCTAGTGAGAGGGCTGGTTTGGGTTCATCAGTTACTGAGCGATGTGTTCTTGTTGGTCCAAGAAACCCTCAGCAATTTTCTCCACCACCATTTGAGGGATCAGTTCTCCTTTGTTCAGCCTTTCCAATGGCCCAGTTGTCACAGCCAGATGTTACAAATGGGAAGATTATAGTCAAGTTGTACCAGCTAGATGTGGTCAATGTATTGTTGTTGTATTATTATTTAAATTTAATATAGCGGCCCACTCCAGTGGATGTTGTTACATTTTAAAAGTGGATATTGGGTGTCAAGCAGCTGAACAAAGCGGAAGATGGTCTCTGGGTTCTGCCCTTCTTTTCTGACATCTTCCAGATATTATAGGCTGCGATGGCCAGAATTCATTCCTGGGGGTGAAACTTTGGAAAACAGACCGAATTGATCTGTTTCCCACTTTGCTTTGCAGCAGATTCCCTGGTGAGCGAGACCCGTCCTCAGCGAGAGAAACGCAGCTTGGGGACTGGCCCCACGGAGGAAAAGGAGAATCAACTGCACAGCGGTATCTTTAAAACAATTGTTTAATCTTTATTCTTCTTTATTTTGGAAGATTACAAAAAATAAACAGAATACCAACAATAATCCATAGGAAAGAACCATGCTCTTGCTATTAATGAATATAAAATGTAAATATTAATATAAAGTTTATATAAAGTTTATATTAATTAATATAATGCTATTAATTAATATAAAAAAGCAACATTAAAACTAAATCAAACCAAACAAGAAAAGAAAGAAAGAAAACGACCACTCCCCAAATTTTAAAGACTCTAACAGAATTTAACAAACCGCTATACAAAACATCTAACGTATATATGAAATGTATAGATCTCCCTGGTGTACAAAAGATACTTTATAATGCTATACTGTATTATTGTAAGATACAAAGAGATAAAAAGAAATGATCTAATAATACTACTGTATCATTGTAAAATATCATAACGCTATACCAAAGAAGAATGCGCTTCATTCTTCATTAGTTGAAGGTGCTTCATTCTTTGATTAGTTGAAAATATTGCCTTTTCTGGAATGGATACAGTACACATTTCCAAAAGCCAGTCCTTAATGCCTTGAATAATCGTAGGTTTCAGTGTTTCTCAACCTTAGCCACTTTAAGATGTGTGGACTTCAACTCCCAGAATCCCCCCAGCCTGGCTGGGGGAATTCTGGGAGTTGAAGTCCACACATCTTAAAGTCAATGAAGTTGAGGAACACTGCTATGAAATAACCCCCAAGCTGGTACCAAGCAGGTTGGAAAAATTAGCCCTTTCTGATGCCACCATACTGTCACTGGTTGCTTCTTGGGTCCTCCCAACTCACACCAACTCACTCAACCTGAGAGGACACGTCTTTGGCTGTGCCAACCCAGCGTAGCATCCAGCCCAGCTAGATGTGGCCTCCTAATATCCCAGGAGGACTTTTTCAGTCTGGTTACTTGAGATTCCTTCTCTATGAACCAGAGTGTGGGTAGAAGCTGGCAGCACCATGGCTGAGTCACTGAGTCGTGTGCCTTAGGAGAGGTTGTAGTATGGTGGCAAGTCCTTGCTTCAAATGTGGGAGGTCCTAGTCCAGTTCCCAACACTTGCAGATCAGGAGGAGAAATGTTTTTGGTTGGCTGGATAACAGCCCATGTCGACTGTCCCATGAGGTGGACCAAAGTCAGCAGAGAGGTCTTCAAGAAGTCCATAAACGGTGTTTCCTTCTAGAAGCTTCTCATGGAGGATCCTCTGTGATCTCCACAAGAGTCTGGAGAGGACTTCTGTCGCTGAGAAGCCCTCTGGTTCAGACACTGCTTTTCCACTCTGACAGACTTACCCCATGCCTTTCTCCTCCCCAGTCCCTGCCACAGGCTCCAGTTGCCTGGGGGTGAATGAATCTGCTCAGCGTGTCCATTCCGTGCAGGAGACGTACCGTTGGATTCTGCAAGTGCCTGAGCAGGACCTCACCATGAAATTCCAGGAGGTGAGGCTGGAATGGGTCACCCCTCTGACCTTCCCATCTGTAGCAAGCAGGGAGCAGGGGGCACTTAATTTAAAAAACTATGTGGCTTCTCTTTGGTGGAGAAAGTTCCAAGCTGTGTGATGCCTTCCTCTGTCATGTAAGGGAGCAAATTGCCCTAGCAAAATGAACACCTATAAACAGGGTTGATCTGTTCTGTGGATTTCTCAACCTTGATTGATTGATCGATTGATTGTGCATCTCTTTTCCAAGCCAGAGAGAAGGGGAGGGTGTGTGGAAAGAGAAATGCAGCAGAGTGGTGTTTAAACTGTAGGGGGGGGGAAATTGAGAGAAGGGTAAATTTTTAGGTTTCCAAGCTGATATACATGTGCTTAAATGGATTTCATGCCACAGCAGGAAGCATAGCTTGGCCAATGTTGTCTTGGCTCAAAAGGTAAGTAAGCTTAGGCCTGTTTAATACTTGGATGGGAGACCACCAGGGAATCCAATGGCAGAGAGT